TACACATTATTACAATAAATGTAATATACACATTATTACAATAATGTAATATACACATTATTACATTAAATATATATATTGTTCGCTGTGGATTTTAAAAGCACAGATTTCATTAGGTGGGAAGTTCAATATTACAAGAATCTACTAGCAAAAACCTAAAAAATAATTAGTGTGTTGATAACCTCCACTTTTTTAATTCTGGAGGATGCCTTTATATGTTTCTGCTGAGAACACTCAGTCAGGTCAGTCAGCCTCTTTTCCTTCATTATATTCTCCATTCTCTGCTTCTCTCTAATCTGAGTGAATTTTTTCTTGACCCTCCAAGTTAAAATTACTTATCTCTATTCTCAGTGGTTTGATAGCACAGTGTTTATCCCTCACAGCTCTTGGTCATACATTGAATACAGTGATGGCTACATATTCCTCTCTCCTTAAAGGAAACGACTGTGCTTTAGCTCCATGATTTGCTCTACATTTGTCAGTGTCCAGACTGATGTTTCTACAGAATTCATTTGAAATGACACTTGCTGTGTTTCCAGCCAGTTTGGGCTGTTACCACAAAATGCCATAGACTAGGTGCCTTAAATAACAGACACTAATTTCTCACAGTTCTGGAGGCTGTGAAGCCCAAGATCAAGGTGGTCCCAGATTCAATTCTTGATAAGGGTCCTTCTTCTCTATTGTAGACAGCTGCCTTCTAGCTAAGTGCTCAAATGGTCTTTCTTAGACGTGTGTGAATGGGAAGAAATCTCTCTCTCTCTCTCTCTCTCTCTCTCTCTCTCTCTCTCTCTCTCTTTATATTCTTTATAAGGGCACTAATCCCAGCATGAGAACCCCACCATTAGGACTTAATCTAAACCTAATTACCTTCAGAAGGACCATCTCCTAATACCATCATATTGGGGGTTAGGGCTTTAACAGGAATTTTAGAGGACACAAATACTCAATCCATAGCAGTGCTCCTCTTCTTGTATATATTCCTTATTTGGAAGTTAGAGAACATATATTATTGAGTGCTCATTATGGGCTTATTATTCAATTAAATTGTTTTCCATCTGTAAGACAGGCCTGGGATCGTCATTGGGGATGCAAATTTGAAATCACACAAC